TATTTTAAGTCTCACTAGATGCAAAGAATAAGTTTTACATGAATTTTTACATTTTTGTATTTTATCTTGTGACCACTGTAAGACTGCTATTATACGTCGGTTTGTTTTGGAAGAACATCTGTTTGGAACAATTTTTCTGCTTTGTCACAACAGCCAGTCACCATAGATCGCTTTGGGGTTAATACAGGGAAAACTGGTTCCCCATTACGAACAAGCTGATAGCTGATTGGTTGAAAACGAACAACTTGCAATTTTTTTGGAAAGGAAGAATAAAGTCGCACGTCTTTCTTTCAATAGTAAACCAGGCAGAAAAATTGTCCAAAACAGTTGTTTGTGTGAAACAAATGCTGTGTGATATGGGCCTTAAGGTTAATGAAACGCAATAACTTTAATAAGCAGAGATAACTTTTAAAGGTAAGTAGTTAGTTATAAGTAATTAAATTAGGTATTATATAACCTTAGTCATTATGGATTTACATGGCTAACATTAAATTTTATTTTTTTAACAATATTTGTTAAAAAAGCCATATTAAAATTGCAATCTAATAAAATTTCACAGTTTAAAATACATGTAATTTATGACATATATTCTTAAACGATATTAGGATAATTACACATTAAAAGCTACAAACAACACACTCAACAAAATATTTATGTTTCTTTTTTAATTTGAAGCCTTACCCAGACATTTTGGTTAAATTATATCGATTTCCTTCTCTTTAAACATTTTTTCTAACAATTAGAAATTTGTCTCAATATGCAAACCAATGTTCTTACTAGTTTCTGCGTGTTTTATCTCCTAACTTGTCAACCTCTCCACAATATGAGTTTACTTGATCTGGTAAAAGTTAAATAGTCCACTCTCCCCCCTTTGACATATGAGAAGCAAATTATCGCTATGTCTGAAAGTAACTAATGTCAGACAAAGGTTTAAATACGCCTCTTATTTAAAAAGATCTTATAACATAAAGGCATCAATTACAACAAAATCAATTACAGCTTGTGGTGATGTAATTAAACAAGAACAGTCAAAACAAGAATAGTCAAACTAAAAATGTGGACTAAGTGGTCAAAGACTATACAATTTAATTTTAATTTAAACTGGCTCAGTAACTCCATCTTATGAGGAAATAGAAATTGGAAATTCTAGTAAAGGCTGAAATCATAAACAACTGGGTAATTTACATAATAATAACTGTACATATCTTTGAAGAATAATTTTCTTTATGTATTCGGTTTCTTTCTTCAACACATTCTTTTTCATTTTAGAATTTGTGGATTTTAATTAGGGTTTTTTGTTATGCTAAAAAAAACTAAACCCATTTAAAATGTATAGAAAAAGCTGCTAAATTTATTTCTTTAGTAATATGAACATTCAGAAGAAATATGAAATATATATGGTAAGGATTGGTTACAGAACTAGTGTAGCAGAATTGTTTGGATTTAGTGACAAACCAAGATACAAAATCTAGAAATGGCAAAACGTTTAGAATTTAGAGCAGGCATTGGAAGCTGAATTTAGAAAGGCACTAGGCAGCAGAATTTAGGATCCACAGAGTTTGATGCATTAAGACATATTAGATGAATCTTTTAAATTGTCAGTTTTCAATTTCTTTAATGATAAAAAAAAATTCCTTTCTATAATGCCTGTCCATGTGATAAGATTAGAAGCATTTCTGATATTTTCCATGCTTGTGTCTAATGAAAAGTAGAGAAAATAAATGGAAGATAAACATGTTAAGAAAAAGATTCTAGTGTCAAAAGTAGGACATTCAAATAGTATGTTTCTATTGCTCTTCCAGATGTCTCCAAAAAGCAACATGTTCATCGTAAACTTTCTGTAAAATACATCCATTACGTGTTAATACCAAGGTGACATTTTTCATTTTGTCACATATTTCTGGAATCTTCTAGAATCGTGGGTCTTTAAATCTTGCCTTCAAATCCTTCTAAACTTTTCAAACTGCAATGTCTAAAATCCTAAAAAAAAAATTATCCCTACCAATTTTGTAGCAGGAGAAAGAAATATTTTGAAAAAAAGAAGGGAAAGTGTAAAATTAATTTTATAGACAAAACTAATGCATATTCTGAGAATTCAGAATAGTAAATAATAGTGTAAATAATAATAGTGTAAAATTAATTTTATAGAGAAAACTAATGCATTTTCTGAGAATTCAGAATTTTCCAAATTACATGAGAAACACTTTTACTATGACAAAATTAAAAAGAAGACATTTTTAATTAATTACATAGCTAATTTTGCTTTTGCTAAGAACTGTTTCCTAAGTTGTGCTTTGCAGCAATCCAGATTCAAAATACTGTATAATAAGTTACCAAAATGGAACTTTATAATGTTCGACAGTGAAAAATAAAAATGTTTTATTTTAATGTTATTTTCTAAATATAATTTCAATATATCACCATTATTTTAATGAAATTTATCAATGCTACAATGTCAAAAAATTCCCAGATCTCGGAATTAAAAATTTTCTATAGAAACTGATCTTAAATTCGCCAAAATGTTGATAAGTCGCCCAATTTTATAATCGCCTTTCAATAGGGGAATTCACATCCTCCAAAGTAAGAAGTTGTTTAAGAGCTCCTCATCAGCAAAAATGAATTTCGAAATGCTTATGTTTCACTTCTTGCTTAGAAACTCGAGTATCCCACCATTTATATTACAAATAGGAACAAATTATAACCCAAGAACCCGTTCAAAAGATAACCACATCACCAAAATTATTTCTCCAAAATCCTAACTCGCACTCAAAATGGCAGTCATAAGGAAAGACAGAAATTTCCGATGTTTAAAATTAAGGACCTTCTACGATTTTGGCCGAAATTAAGAACTTTTAAGGACCAAAAATCGATTCCAAAAAACCTAAGGACTCTAAATGACCATATGAACCCTGGTTAAGCACTGGACATGTCTTTAGGGGTTGCCCTATCACTACGACCAAATGGCAAAGAGTACCCAGTGCTTTAACTACATAAGAAATTCGGTCCCATGCAAAAAAGATACAGCGCCGTTGAACAAGAGTGTGCATAAAATTGAGGTTTTACTCTAATGACCAGCCTTTTGTAATCCAAATAGATCATGGACTTCTTGTGTGGCTAAGTTCTCATTCAGGTGCAAATCAGAGGTTACTAAGACGGTCTCTATTCAACAATTCAGCTACAAGAATGAATCTAGAGCAGGAAACAAAAATAAAAATGTGGACACACTTAGCTGCACACAGCAGAAAATGATCAAAAGAACCATTATTAAGACGACTACAGACTTAACTGATTTAAAGAATTTTAGTGAGCTGCTTTTGTTTTGTGTAAAATGTTTAATGTGATAAATAAGGTACTACTACAATATTAAATTCTTGAAGATAAGTGTATATTGTGAGTTTAGCACCTATTGTAAAATGTGCATTATTTAAATTTAGAAAATTACCCCATACAATAAGCTGAATTTAGAAATGCCTAAATATTACTTAACTGAGACAAAGCAAATTTTGCAAAATCTTCATTTCTAAGTCACAGGGAGTTAAAATTGATAGTCAGCTATATTTAGAGATGTTTGTTTTAAATTCTTCCCTAAAGTTGTTAAACTGGAGGATGCACTGTACTGCTGTATACACATGATCATTAGAGTTACTCCCACTTCATTCAACTGAATTGTTCCCTAAAAACTTACATTTCTTTAGGGGTGCTGTGAAGGCAGCAAATTTTAAAGTATTCTACACGCATGTAGGCTGCCAGGCTTACTAGACTTTCCATGTGGTTCTAGCAGGACCACATGATAGACATTCAGGAATGTCCCCCATAAAGCTGACTCCACCCCTCCTTCGGAATTCAGAGCTGAATCTGACTCTAGTGTGACGTCATAAGCTGATGAGCCAATGGCCAGCAGCTAAAATCATGTGTGCATCCCTTTGTGGTGAAAGCAAAAAAGGGATAAGTCCACCAGAGTCCAGAGGGTGTTCTTGAGAAAGTTTTTTTTTTTTTTTTTTTTTTTTTTTTTTTTTTTTTTTTTTTTTTAACCAATTCCATGCTGAGAGCTGGATGTGAAAGCGAAAGTCGGATAGTGTGATAATGCTATTTTTGATGATTTATTATATATCGTTTTTTGTATGTATTCTAGTAAGAAAATTTATACCTTCTTGCCATGGTTTCATACCTTTGCAGTCCTGATTTTCGTAATTGTTTGTAATATTACACTATAGATAGTTACGTCCCAGGTATATGAAATTTATAGTGCCAATGCAATAAGTGACAGTAAAATGCAAAAATGGGCGAGATTATTCAAGGAAGATTAAGAAAGTGTTCATGAAAAATCTTGCTGGGGTCAGCCATCTGTAAGCACTAATGATTTGGAGCAGAAAACTGAGACCCAAATTCATAAAAACAGGTAATTTCAGCAAATTGCATAATAAAATGCAAAACACTGAAGGAGAGGTGAAAATGACAGTGATTAACTGGTTAGTATCATCAGGAGCACAGTTTTATGAGAAGGCCCCAGCCAAAAATCATTGCTCATAATGATAAATGTTTAAACCAACAAGTAAACTATATAAAAAAAATAGATAACTGCAAATTCAAGAAATGAATGAGTATTTAAAAAATTTTTACTTGTTACTTAAAACGTAACTTTTACACAAATTAACTCGAGTGCTCGTTTTTATACTTAAATAAACCTCTGAGTTACATAGCCACTATTATCTAGTCACAAGACTTCTACTTGGTATATATTAGGCTATAATTTAAAATATGTTGTTTTCTTACTTTCTTTAATGATGTAAATATCATCTTAATGAATAGAAGTTTAGAAAAAAGAAACTAAAACTAAAATAAGTAATCATTCAAATTTAGTGTGTTTAAACACTGTTCTTCATGAGCAGATCTAAAATACCATGCCACTAAGTGAATTAATAAATTAAAACCAACAAAACTTTTACAAGGGCAAAAATGCTTTGCAATTAACAATTACAAAAATTCATACGAAAACTTACCTCAATAGGTGGTGCAGGAGTTTTAGTCTCTAAAGATGCTAAAAGAGCAGTGCGCTTCTTCTCATAACGATCATATCTTAAGAACAAATTATTAAGCTCATCATTGATTCGCAATAAATCACCTAAAAATGTATACATATCATTCTTTATCACACAGAAACTTTTTAAAAGAATTACAGAAAATGCAAGTTTAAAAATTTGAATATAAATTAAAGTATAAAGAAAATTAAAGCTAGCATAACTATATATTTACATATTTGGTGCTCACTGCAGTGACTAACTCCTCATGTCTTATACAAAAAGTATATATACTGAGTGCTCACTGAAGCAAAAATCAACTTATAATATACACTCTTATATAAACTTGAAAAATGTATCATAAAATCAAACTTTGAACTTATAGGTTACTATCATTCTTATTACAGCTACCAAAGTTATTTTGTTAAATCATTAAACTATATTGGATTCACACTATGAAGGAACTGCTAGAAATTAGAGATGGGCAAGACCATGCCTTTAAGGGATCAGAACAGAACTGTTCGCTCACTGAACTGAAACAGTTCCTTTTAATGATTCACCACTCACTAACAATGACCCTGATGAATGCTTTTGGAACAACCGTGGATCAAGAGCGATGAGCTAAAATGGGAGAAAAGCAGAAAGAATTGAACAAGGAGTGGGATCACTGGAATCAACTCAATCAAACTGCTCACTCCCTGGACTGATTTCTTTCAAGTGTACTTTTGAGATTCCCTAAAAAAAATTTCTACACAGAACAATAATAAAATTCTGGAATAAAAAAGTCCCAAAAGTTAAAACATAATGAAAACTAAAGTCACTTTCATTAAAGATTACCTTATTTTATTACTATTGATATTTTATATTGATATTTTATTGCTACTGCAAAGTACACTAAAATTAAATTTTTAGATTGGAGGCATATTCTAAAGAAAAAGAAATTGTCTGCTGACAATACCAGAACTTTCCTTTTTTTTTACCTAATTTGACAAAATGATACCAAATATCGCCTGAGGTTCTTCTACTCAGTAGGGTCAAATTTCATTTTGCAATCTTGAAAAAATATATTAGATGGAAAAATTTATGTTTATAAATATATACTAATTCTAAAGAAGATTCAAAAGAAATTCACACTCTTGATTACAAGATGTTGGTAAAATAAGTATAAAAATAAAAATTTATTACTTTACATAAATATTACAGTATTATTGTATAATAAAGGTAATACCTAATATAGATACCTATACTGTGACACAGTATTCAAAGAATCGAAGTGAAACTCAAAGGAACAGCTCCAAAGAAGCAAAAAGAGCAAATAATTGAGACTCCATAGCAGCCAAATTTGCGTCTAGAGCAAGAGCGATAAAAAGAGTGACTAATAAAGACTCCATCTAAATCTTATCTGCAGTTAGAGCACATACGATGAAAAGATCGAGTAATCATAACTGCGAAGGATCCAGATCTGCAACTAGCGTAGGAGTGCTGACAGCTGGGAATCCAAGGAACCAGTTCCTATAATCTACATACTTCAAACAGATCCTTGCACTGCCAGATGGGGAGGGGAACTCTATCCATTTACAAACAGGGGTGGTCAGTTTCGCTGGGATGCGTCGGTTTATTAAATGTTTTGTTTTTTAAATACAAGATGTAACTTAAGTGAACCGAAAGCACACATATATACATACATAATACACACACCATAAAAAATAGGCCAGAGATGTTTCTAGTAAATAATAAAGGAAAGAATACTAGTGTTTAAATTATGAGAAATAAAATTTTTTGGAACGCATCCCAACAACAGCTCTTGGTGAACTGTTAAAGAATTGCTGTTCCGTTTTCGCCGGACCGCTGATCATTTGTTTAGTGAAATGAATTGGTTCCACAATGGATCATCCATCTCTACTTAGAAAGTGAGAATATTACTATAATGAATTGGCTTTCTCTGAATTCAGTCCCACAGAAAATGTATGCAGATATCTTTCTACATAATTACATCTACTAGTGAAACACTCCACTACTGAAATAGATGCTCATTGACAAATAAATACTCTTAAATGTTCGATAATCAGGCAAAGGGTGCTACACACCTTTGCCTGATTGCCTTTGATGAAAGACGGTGCTACACACACTTTACAGTTAAGGACAGAAATCCCTCTTTTTATTTGACTCTTTTTACTTTATTTGAGATATTTGACTTGTTTGTCCCATTTAGGCAGAGTCAAATTTGCACCAGTTGCCCCATTTGAACCAGAGGCATTCTTTCTATAAAGGAATTTTCAGCTTGATTCCATCCTACATATGACTATTCATTATTGCCTTAAATTTTCTTCATCCATCCAAGCACAAAATATGTGTCTGTATTCTGATTCTTATATCTTCCAGCTGATTTCTTGTGAATTATGATGAAAAAACTAATCTGCCTTAAGTTGTACTATTAGTATTCCTATACCACATACAGCCTAATTATTCATTTCAAAATATTAGCGCTTTGAAATACATATTTTAGAATTTTTGAAAGGAAGAATTTTTCTAAATTTTAATAAATTTACAAAGTGAAAAGGATACTAATAAAAAATGAGATATGAAAAAATACCTAAGATTAATAAAAGCATTTAAAACAAACATTAGATTACAAAGTTCAATTTCTTGCTGATTTTTAATATTTAATTTTTACTATTATAAAGTACTAATATACTTCATTAATCTTCATTAATATAGTATATTGATGAAAAGAATTTCCGTATCACAAAACCACTGATATTAATAACTTAAATTTTAGTATCTTACTTTCTTCTCTCTCTCCCTTCTGAATGAAGAGAATGAAGAGTTTCAGAGAAGATAAAAATAGAAATAATAGATTAAGATTTTAAAAAAATTCAATTTAAAAGATAATTTATTAGCAATAACATCTGAACAGCCAAATATTTATCTTATATACTGAATGTAGTTTGCATAATATTTACCCACATACATAATTTTATTATGTGTTCTGAATTTTATCATGCCATCCAAAAGAGATAGTGGTTAGCGATGCTGACTGCCATACAGAAAGGCCCGTGTTGAAATCCTGGACAGGACTTGGATGTCTGTAATTGTTTGGTATCTGTGCAGCATGGGGGCACTCTAAATATGCAGCGAGCCGAAAGTCCCTCCAGAGAAATGGTAGACACTCAAACCCGCCTCCTTGGGGTGCTTTCATCAAAACTGGGAGGATGGAACTTAGCAAAGTCATACCGTCACCTGCATGGTGCTCAAGGCTCTTGCTAACGATAGGCACAATCTTGCACTCCATGCAACGATGAATTTCGTGGGGTTGTTCTGATGTTACTGTCAGACAAGTGAGATAAGTCACAACACAACAGTTTTATTAAGCATGATTAATATACTTACTAGTTACTTCTTCCATTCCAATTTTGTCAATAAGATCTACAATTCTACTTTGCATGGCAAAGCAAGTCTTTTGCAATTCCTATAAATAAACATACTTCTTAATCTTAATAATAATCATAATGCACAGTGTCTCTGATGTCTTCATCCAATTTCAAAGCATAACAGCTCAAAAATCGCAACTCATATTTTAACTACAGGCCAACAGCAGGGGTCCCCAACCTTTTTGTCCCTAAGAGCACATTCTAGAATGTCTGTTGGATAGCGAGGCACCATTTACTTTTGAAAGGTGAATTTATAATTGGATGGAGTTAATGAATACATGTACATAAAAGAGAGAGAGATAGAGATTGGTCACATTTACCTTTGTGCTGGTATCTGTGTTAAGACACAACTTCTATTTCATTAAAAATGAGAAAACTTTCACATAGAATTTTTTTGAAAACTAAAACATTTTTATTGTGATTGACAGTGGTGGGCACACATTAAACGATCGGCAGGCATCATGGTGCCTACGGGCATAAGGTTGGGAACCCCTTACCTACAGTTTGAAAATGGGAACACATTCAAGTTCTATTTGCTTGGTGAGAGATGTCATTACTGTGCAACACTAATACAAGCTAATGATGTACCTTCTCAACCATCAGTCAACTCCCATCAATGTAATTCAAATGGTGAGCCAGAAGGAAAAAGCTTTTTGTATTATCCAGTTCTATCCGCTTACAAATATACAGCATTATTTTCATTCAAGATTCAGCACTAAAACTCCTACTGCCCAGAGCATTAAAAGGCACTACAACATTTTTACCCAGATATAATACTTGTGTGCTGCAAAACATTCAAGTCTTTGTAATGGTTCTTGTGTGAAGACCTCAGTGCTTTACATATCACACAAGCATTTCTTTTTGTAGAGTTCCATAAAAAATTTCATACATGTGCCTTCTCTATTCAGCATTTACGAAATGCTCAGGAGTGTTAATTTTGTGATAGTAGATATGCTACATGAGGTATAGGAAGAGTTTGATAATTGACTTGTAAGTCATGCAGTCAGAGGTGGCCATATTGAATATTTGTGAACATTTCATTGAAAACCTGGATGTAGTTACTATTACTTTTAATTTTGTAACTAATCGTCATTTTTTCAAAACTAATATTGCACTTTGAAATCAGAAAAGACTTCAGAAACTTCAAAGAACAGAAAAATGATCAAAATTTCATAAAATGGAATTTGTATTTATAAATTATATTGCATTAATTTTCTTTCTTCTATTGAAATTAAAGAGACACAATTAGATCACACTGATGCTGTAATAAGAGAAAATGTTAGTTAAAACTATTGAAATATAAAAAGTATAAAACAAATGAACATTTTAAAAATTAACAATGTATTTCACATTACTATACCACACTGCACAGAATATTTTAATAAATATTTTGGCATATTAAAACAAAACATCACCTTCAACAACTCTAAATCTTGTGGATGCTCTCTCCCAGGAGTTAATTCAGTTAGCATTTCTCCAAACACTTTCATATTTCCTTGCACTATATCCAATTCACTACGTAATTTAGCTAATTGTTCAGGATTCAAAGTAACAGGGCCTGTTTGTCGTGGCAATACATCTGGCATAGGTGTGGGGTGTGATGTGTGCACAAAAGGCTATCACAAAAATTTGCATACATTTACAAGATATATAAATAAATATTAAAATATCATGAACAAAACAATCAGTATACAGATCTTTATATCTTATACATTTATTTTACACTTCACTTAATTTTCCAGGTTTTTTTTTTTTTTTTTTTTTTTTTTTTTTTTTGGTAAAGATGTTAATAGAGAAAATTACCTATTTCATAAAACAAGAAATTTAAACTTTTTAACACTTTAGGAGCAGTTAATTGTTTCAATACTTCACAATATTCAAATAAACATATTTCTGTATAACTAAGGTTTATGATAAAAATACTAAAAACAAAATGAATAGTCAGAACATTTAATAGGTAACTTTTGGTAATTTATTTTTTAAAAATGCAAGCAAACATTCAAGTAAAAGACATTTTTTATTCTAAAATACATGTAAAATTATGCATGATACAAAATCTTATTTTGGGACACAAAATGAATTCTCAGCAATAAGCCAAATAAATGGTCTTGAATAAGCTATAGCTTGTACAACATGGCTGTTCCACTAAGATGTCTACTCAAAAGCACAAAAACAAAGATGCATGATTTATATTTTTGTGATTAGAAGGAATGAAATCTTCTGAAATCTATAGAAGAATGAAGATTTAGTATAAAAACAAAAGAAATATTTCAGATATGAACACCAGAATAGGCAACGATTGCTATTACAAATAAGATACTAAACAAGAGATTCAGATGCACTAGTGATTGCAGGCAATCACTATTGATGAAATTACTATATAATTCAACATCAGTCAACAGCTTTCACTCATTACTGCCCACAATGACCTTGAATATAAAAAAGAGTATTCCACAGCAGCTGTCTGATGATCCCAAAGGGAGAATTTGTTACAGGCATTTGGATCACTATGTTTACAAACATATGATTTCTTCAAACCATATCAGATGAAGCTACATTGAAGTGTGATTGAAGATAAGAATTATTATGAACCAGCAGAACGTAACAGACGATGAAGTGGATAAGCCATTTTCTGATCAAGAGGGAAAAAAATAAAAAAATATATTTACCATCTTCTGAGATATCACTGGTGGTATAAAAGGAAAACGGAAAAGGCAAGACTATGATTACTGCTCGATATGTGCAAGATGCTATCAAACAAATGGAAACCTACATTGGAACTGAAATATTAGTTGCTTCTCTCAAAAGGAATACTGTTACTTCTTGACAGTACCAGTTTCCATTTTACATATACAGTGAGATCGCAGTGTGATCTTGAAAGTGTTCAAACATAAATCCACAATCCAAATTTCGTGCTATTGAGCTTTCACTTGTTCAGCATTGAAAGAATATTTACAGTCAAATGTTAATAAATGACAAGATAATGCAGACTGTGCAAAATAAGTATAAAACTGCATTAAGAAGTTTTTACAACAGGGTATCTATAAGTTAAGGGATATGAATACCAACCATATTATGATCCAGAAGAATTATGTGAGAAACAAGGGAACTGCACATATTTTAGTAAAAAAGTATACAAAATGTTTATTATTTTATACCTTTTTTACTAGAGTAAGACTTTTCAATATATGTTAAATAAATAGGTTTTACCAAAAAATATTTTTAAATTAAGCTTTAAATATACTGTACAAATCTTTGTAACTTGCTTTTAAATTTACCTAGGTTTTCTATCATAAGAAATATTTCTTCCAAGAATAAAATATTTAACACAAAGTAATATCTTATTTTTAGAGCAAAAAAAAACATACAAAAAAGTAATGAAATGCTGATCAGATTATAAATAATATCACCTGTAATAAATGAAATCTGTACATTTATGATATTATTCTGCATAAAAATACAATAAGCAATATCTCAAGATTGTCTCTTCGAATTCTTTAATAATGATCTCTTAGAATTTATGTTATTTTAATATTTCATTATTACAGTTTCTTCAAGCAAGCATATATAATTAGAAAATTGTTCTTGAATTGCAACTCAAAAAGGAAACTCCATAACAGAAGTTGATGAAATGGTACATTGAAAGAATTTATCACATTTTGACACAGAAAAATATTTTCAAAATATGACAGAATTTAAAATGAAAAAGAATTAATAGGCCACAATTTAAGATTTTTTGCGGAATGCAGTATAATATTGTCTAAAATAATTAAAATAATTTAGGATTTGATATTCTTAGACATGATGCAAAATATTTAATATTTGTTAACTGAAAGACTGTTAAAACAGGAATCCAATATGCTACGTAAAATGGTTATGCGATAAATACTGAGTAAAAGAACATAAAATTTCAGCTTTTGTTTTTAATATTTAAGAGCATTAAGGGATCTGAATCCTAGAATAGGGTAATTATTTGATCAGAAAAGCTAATTTAATATGGCAATGATCAATGGAAGAGAAACAAGCTAAGAGAATTTGTCTGACTGCCCTGAAAATCAAGAGAGTTTTGCTCAAAAAGGTGACTGCTTTTGACTTTTTGCTTTGTTGACTGCTCAAAAGTAAGACTGCTTTTTGGTTAAATTTTACATTATATTTTAGTAAGCTGTAAAATCAAATGTAAATTCTCAAAACTGAAATTAACTGATACAGAAGGTATCTGTCACTCTTTTGTACCAAGATCTTAAGTTGCTGATGCTATAAAGGATTAGTATAAATATATTGTGGTTTAAAATGAAATTTCAAATCATTGTTACAAGAGTTTAATCTGCAAAACAACTCCAAATTCTGTTAAAACAATGACCTGGCATAATACTATGGATGCGTCGCACAAGCAGCTGTTTAATATTTTAAGAATATTCAAAATCTCATCTTTGTGGCCAGATTTAAATCCTATCAAAAATATCTGGTAAGAAATATAATATAAATTTTGAAAATAGAACAATAATTTTTAAAACAACAATCAAAATTAGTAATTTAAAACAAGTTGATAAAAATTATGTTAGAAATAGTTAAAAAATCCTGCTAAATTCATGCTAAAAAGATTAATCCATACACTTTTGAAAACTAATAATAATTCAACAAATTATCAGAACAATTTACGATCCTTTTTTAAATTCTTCTATTTGGTAGAATAATAAGTATCCTATAACTTTCACAACATTATGTTACTACCCAAAACAAAAAGTATTAATTTTTAAGCTGCATATTTTTAGGGGAAAAGACTACTGAGTAAATATTAACCTCCAAAGGAAAATGTTTTTTAAAAATTTTAGTTTAATGTATTTATAATTTTTTATTCCAGAAATCACCAAATGTCCCATCGCTTTGGTAAGATGCTGTACCACCATAACAAAACTATTTCCAGATTTACTAATTTCTGGAATTAAATTTCTAGAATTAAATTAACAGCAGATTTAATTTTCTAACACATTAATTCAAAACAAATACTATTTTATTAACTAAAGAAAATTTCTTTTGCATTTAAAAGTTTTATTCTACCAACTACAGTCTGTTGTTTTATAAAAGGTACATCAAGGTAATTTCTCTCCACCCAGCTTGTAATGTAACCACTGCAACAACAGCTGCAGAAATTGTGGAGTTTCCTAATTGTTTTTCTCTCCTCTTCATTTCATTTAGCATGTCTCACTACATGAAAAGAGTATGGATAGTCTCAAATGATGTCAAGAAAATAAGCATTATGTGATGATAACAACACACATTACAATCATAAATTTAGGATGGTCAGGAAGAACCTGGAGTGCCTGAAGAGCTATAAGAATGTTTAAAACTAACCTGTTTTCCATGCACAGGTGGTTCTGGATTATGACTAGGAGATGTGCTAGGAGGTACACTCTAAAAGAAATGTTTAAAAAATTGTGAATTTTTTCCCTCATAAAATAAAAGAGAAAACTTATTTGCATAGAAGACAAAAGTACAAAATAAACGCTTAGTTAAATTCCTGCCTATTTTGGTCAATTTTGAACAGTAAAAATTACATAAATCCAATCAAAAAGCCAACTCTGCTATGCCATTATACAAAATTCTTAACAAATTGATGCATTAATTCACCAGTGGACAAAGGGCTGCTCAGCAATTACTTCTAAAGGCCTCTGTTCCTTGTTGAAAGGCAACTGGATTCTTTGAACTACACTAAAACACTCCATTATATATATTTAAAAATATAATTAAACCTCACTCCATTTATATATATATTTATATATATATATATATATAGTATAGTAATATTAATTAATTGTAATAAATTGCCTAATACTTTATTAATTATTGTTAATTGAATGGGGGTTGGTTTGTTCCCCCTTGAAAAGTCAACCAATTTCCAGTCAATGATGATAATTACTTGGTATTTTGATTACTTTTTCATTTTTTAAGTTTCCATTTTCAATTTATTCATGATTCATATTTGATGTATCTTTTTTTTTTAAAAAAATTTTCAAGATCCATTTTTAAATATGCTTATAAGTTACTTCATTCCACTAAAATTCTACTACCTTTCTAAAAAGAGATACTTTGCTAAATAATCCATTATTACATAAATTATAAAGATATATACACACAAAATAAATAAATAAAAACAGTAATTATATTATTAAAAATTAAGTATTTTTTCATAAGGCCTTCAAAGTTTTTTTAATATATTCTGTGTTATATATATATATGTATACTTATAATACATATATATATATATATACTTATAATACATATATATATATACAGTCAAAAGTCGTTAATTCGGACACCCATAATCCGGACCTCAAAGCTAAAAACTTTCTGCGCATGCGCCGCGTTGGCACATGCGTTTTACGCGTGCGCGTAAGACCTTGACTACTGCGCATATGCATGTGCGCAAGTGCAGAACACGTTTTCGCCTGCGCGTTTAATGTATAACGGACGGTTAAGCTAAAATTATCTAATTATCTATTTCAGTTAATGTTGATGATTGTGTTGTTCCTTAATCTTCGAATTGGATCCCGCTTATTATTTTTTGTAGACTGTAAGAGCAATTATAAAAGTAAACTTGAACTTTCGATTATGTCAAATAGAATTTCCGATGCTGGAACTTCCAAAGGATCTACAAAACGAAAGTATGTTTCGATGTCCAACAATTAAAAAGTGGAATTGCTGCAAAAAATGGATAAAGACATGAAGAATGTGACAGAGAGGTTAGTGAAAACGAAAAAATTTCGATTGACAAGTTAGTCGGTATTCTCGGCACAGCAATTAACGGGACTTGAACGGCGGAACTTTGTAACTGAACAAGAAATTATGTCTGTTTATAGAATTAAAGAGAAAGTATTATCACATAAAACGAAGCAACTTAAACAACTTACATTGAAAGAAATGTTTAATAAAGTAAACAAATAAATATTAAGCTTTTCTTTTTTTTGTAAATTTTGATAACCTTTAGATCATAATTGCTCTTTTTTTCATAAATTACGGTTTCATTTTTTAATTTTGTAATTTCTGCATGCCATCTTACGAGATTTAAACTGATGATCGATAATCCGGAATCGGCGAAGTCCCGACGTGTCTGGATTAACGACTTTTGACTGTATACACATTTTACTTTTCACTGTCTTGCTCATAATCGATTTGTCATAATTATTCAGTTTCTTGAATTACTAATATTTTGTTACACGTGTATGGGTTCGTAACAGATTGAATGCACACAGAATTCATAGCTTGATAAAATTTTAAATTTTATTTTACCAAAAGAAACACTTCATAGCTCAAACTTTCCTGAAATATACTATACTCGTAGAGCTCTTCACAGTATCACAAAGTACAATCAGTAATTACACTTCAAACTACTAAGAACATTAAACACAATGCAATGCAAAGTGCATCTAAAAATTGAAGCTCACGTGGAGATATCTATATATTCCACACTCATACTGTACAAAACTACTACTGAGAAACTGATGCTCTTTCTGGTCTTATTTAGTTTTCCCAGACCACTGAGAAATTTCTAGTACTTTCCTCTCTTCAAAATTACTGGAAGGCATATGAGGGCCGGATACAGTTAAAGCTCCATATATAAACTAATAACATTTTACACATGGACACAACCAAAATTTTGCCTAATGATCAACAAGTCTGGCGACTTTTGGCTATTTCTCGCTAAACACTTGCCAATTTAGCGAGATAGGCATTTACTCAATGTTAAATAATTTGTATAATAATACTCAATGTTAATAATTTTACTTAATAACTTACTTAAATGTAATTCTTTGCAGGGGGTGGATATTATATTACTAAGAAAGATCATGGGGTAACCTAAAAGAACCTAGTAACATCAAGAGAGGCATTGCATCCCAAAAAATAATGCTCTGAGTATGAAGGGACTACAGAGGAATTATATACAATGAATTGTTGCCACCAACTCAGATAATAAACTCAGAAAAAAGAAAAGCAGTTTCAATAGAAAAAGCTGAAGCAAAGCACAAAGGAACTGATCAATCTTTAAAGGTGCTGTCTTCCATCATAACAATGCTCGGCACCTAATTTTGATGAATATTGAACAAAAACTTAGTCAGATATTTTGTGTTTCCACCCCCTCATTTCACTAGACCTCTTAGATCTTCATCTCTTCTAAATTCTCTGAATGGACTGAAGGCCTCTTCTTTTTGGAGACTGGCAAACAGCTTATCCATAACTTCTTTCCAAGTAAACCTCATGAGTTTTTTTAAAAAAGAATTTTCTGTCTGAGAGATGACAGAAAGTTATAGAATAAAATGAAAGTTACGAGATTCAATGAAAGTTCAGCATAATTTTTTTACACTTTTAAATCAAAACTAATACAGTCAAGTCGTTAATTCGGACACCCATAATCCGGAATGATCTATAATCCGGACCTCAAAGCTACAAACTTTCTGCGCATGCGTCTCGTTGAGGCATGCACATAGGCGTTTACGCGTGCGCATAAGACCTTTATGGCTACGAATATGCATGTGCGCACGTGCATAAAACGTTTACGCATGCACGTTGAATGTATAACAGACGGTATAAGCTAAGCTAAAATTATCTAATTCAGTTAATGTTGCAGATTGCGTTGTTCCTTAATCTTCGAATCGGATCCGGCTTATTATTTTTTGCAGACTGTTAGAGCAATTTTATAAAAGTAAGCTTGAACTTTCGATTATGTCAAATAGAATTTCCAATGTATATTTACTAATATGTAAAGGATCTACAAAGCGAAAGTATGCTTTGAAATCCGAAATCTGTTTATCAATTTCACGCTGCTCTGCGGCGGCAGGGGGAAAACGCCGTGGCGCGCAATGAATTGGAAGTTGATCTGTCAGCACTATCCTTATCTTCAAGGCAGATGTTTTTATTTTATTTGGCTCATAATTCCTTACTAAATGTAGTATTTCATTTCGATGTACTCCGTCTGTGATTTAAATCAAGTTCTTCGTCATTATAATTCGCTTCCGATAGTGAAGAAAGTGACACGGTGGTTATTGAAAACGAAAAAATTCCTATTGACAAATTAATCGGTATTCTCGATACAGCAATTATGGAACTTGAATAGCGGAACTTTGTAACTAAACAAGAAATTATGTCTGTTTAATAGAATTAAAGAGAAAGTATTATCACATGAAACGAAGCAACTTAAACAACTTACATTGAAAGAAATGTTTAATAAAGTAAACAAATAAATATTAAGCTTTCTCTTTTTGTAAATTTTGATACCCTTTAGATCATAATTGTTCTTTATTTCATAAATTATGGTTTCATATTTTTAATTTCATAATTTCTGCATGCCATCTTATCAGATTTAAAATGATGATTTATAATCCGGAAAAATCAATAATCCGGAATCACCGAAGTCCCGACGAGTCCGGATTAATGACTTTTGACTGTATCAATAACTACGAGCATACATTTCAAAATTAATCCTTGCAGCAACTAATATACACAGGTACCAAATTTCTACTGTTACATTGAGAATGGAAAAAAAAACTTGTTTAATCGAAAACGAAGGACAAAGTTAATATTGTTGACCAATTGCCTAATGTTTATACTGCAAGTTTAGTTCTGGTTTCACTTTTTAAAAGTAAAACCAAAACTAAACTTACAGAGAAGTATGAAGTTAGAACATCTGTTTTATTTTAGTAGAAGTGAATTAAATGTTTAAGCACATAAAAATTATTTAATTTAAAAATAATTTAATTTAAAAATAATTTTGCTCGAAACGGCATGTTTTGTATTTTGTTTTGATAAAATAAAAACACCTATTTTTTAATAATGTACTGCCTAGGGAAAAAATTATACACAAAAATAATACAGGAAAGGGATAACTGAAGTATCTAGGCTTTTTAAATCTTAAGTTAGGCTACAGTCTTGGATAGATTTAAAATTCCACTGTATTTTACAATTATTTCTCCACAATCAAAACTTACTCGTTGAGGTGTGTGTATAGGTGCCATAGTATCTAAATCTGTCATAGGAAATTCAATACCCTTTTGTTTCAAATCATGATACACTTGGACAACACCTTGCATTTCTGGATTGTTCTGAAAAGCATCAGCCCAGCTCTATAAAGCAATGGTGGGGAAAAAATTCTTATATTTGGAAAATTCATGTTTTCAGATAAATTACAAAACTGTTTTATTAAATTGAAATCAATCTTTCTTAATTTATAATAATTTTCAGCATAAAAATGAAATACCTGTATTAGACTTAAGACCTTTTCTTGTACAGCTGTTGGAGGATCATTTTTAGGTCCAATTAACTTTACTAATTCCATAATGAAATCTTTTTGACTTACAAGCAAATGGAACCTTCGACCACAGTTTTTAACACACGTTTCTAGTACCTGTAATAGCAAATTTATAAGTACAGAAATTTGTATGGTTTGAATAAATACACTTTATTTCAATAATTTAATTTAAAGGGCTTCATTTTAGATGTGTCTATAATCTGTAATAAGAAGAAATAGTTTTCCTGTTTGTCAGATAAAATAGAGATGAATTGGTGCAGAACTATGAAATTTGACATCTGGCTCACGTTAAACCTGTGTCGATTTCTAAGTGATTTCTTCATAACTCAAGGTAGATGTTTTATTATCATTCTTTAATACTGAAATGATTTTTTGTAGATTTTTGTACATATATCTCCATAATGAACAAAACAATGATTCTAGAACTTCATCACTTGCACCCGAGATAGAAGAGGGAGGGGGGAAGAAAACTTTATAAATGATGCTTATTCCAAATAGCCAATTTAATTTAGCATTCCCCCCCACACACACACACACATACACACTATTGTACATCTACTATTTTAAAGTTTCAAGTACTAAAATTATGTCTTTTATAAAAATTTTGAAATTTTTGCAGATTGTAAAGCAAATTAACTTCACTTTCTTCTACAACATAAATGATAAAAAAATATTAATTAGGTGGTTTTTTGTATCTTCTTAAAAATACTGCAAAATGGTTTTCCGACAACAGAATTCATTTGCGGAATTCATTCATTAACTTCTTTCCAGTGCAGGATTTATGTATAAACTATACAAGCTATAGCTTAGGGCTTTTGCTTTATTGCTCCTCCCCCCCCCCCGCAAAAAAAAAAAAACTTTTGGATATCCAAAAATCATATTTGGCAGCGATATCTGGACTTATAAAAGGGCCCCATATCTCAAATAGCTCAGGGCCTTATCAAGTCTAAATCCGGCCCTGCTTCTTTCATTATCTCTACAGAAAAACATAGCAATGTCTGTGATCTTAGCTCATAGAACATCAGTTATTCTTGGAGAATTTTGTGTAGAATATAGAAAAAATGGATTTTTGGATTAAATATCCTTCTGAATGATAATTTTCAGATATTAAAAAAAAACTGATATGTTTATTTGTTTTATTAGCAGAACAATACAGAAAGAAAACAGAAAAATAAACTTGAAAAATTATTAAGACTACACCAAACTCTGCATTTCAAACTTATTCTAATGCAGTATACGAATCTCAATATTATTATACCATAAATTTGCATCTGGTTTCGTAACTGAAATAAATGAGTTTTTTTAAAATAAAACTCATTTATTAAAACACATACCACCACACATATATTTACTGTTTGTGACATACCACCCTTCTGAATATATTTTAGCACTGAGTATTTACCTTTTTTTTTTTTTTTTAATTAACTTTTTTCTTTCTTGGTTTGGAAACAGTTCACCAGTTTATACTTTCTGTAAGCATCATGTAGTTAAATGAACAATACTGTTGTAAATATTTGTAAATAACTGAATTTTTTTTATTGTATTTTTGTTTTTCTGAACTGCTAATTCAATTCTAGGTGATGTTGAGAGTAGCGGAGTATAAAACTTAGTTCCCTACCAAAGGATCATATTTGCTGTAAGTTAAACAAACTTTTAACCAGTGCTTTTCTTGAGCTTAACATAACAGATGAATATGATATGTCAACATGTGAGGAAGAATACGATATGTCAACATGATGAAGATGGATAACAAATGATTAACATTTGACTGGTACGCCAGCAGGTGCTTGGCTCCAACTACTCCATATGATACTTCATATAAACGTTGTGGAGGGCACTCTGCTAGATTCTTATTCCCATTCTAGTTTTCGACAATTATGTGTTAGGATTCTGTGCATCATATTGCTGCACCACACTGGAGAGAATTATGGCTACTGGCCACTTCGATACCCAGATACAACACATACCTTAGATAGGCACATACCTTAGATAGGCACATCAGAAGGATGCAGTCTTCACACCTTTCTTGGCTTCTACTGTGAAATTACACAGCACTAAACTTTACACTTCTTCAACAATACGCAGTTGCAAGAGAGAATGCATATTTTTCAACACTCTCCCTCGCAGAGCTGGAAAGAGAATTAAAGAAGAAAGAAAAGCATTTTCAAAGCTCAAGTCCTAATAGATTCATATATTTTCTATGTTTGTCCCTGCTAAAATTCTTTGCTAAAAATTTTGGCGGGCATTTCCGCTGTAGATATATACTTAATGTCAGTTTTCTTTTTGTTCATTTAACTGTTTAATGTAATGAAAACGAGTATCCATGCATTTTGCTCAAGAGTGGTGAATTGGGTTTTTCAATAAATGCTGTGCATTTTGATTGTTATTGGTTCTGCTATCTTTTCTAGAAAACCTAGCTCTCTTAATAGCAAATGCATCACTTCTTTTCAAGCTTCAATTAATGCTACGTATTCTGCTTCAGTACTTGATAGCGCTACAATTCTTTGCTTGAGTTATTGCAAGAAACCAGGCTTTCTGCTAATATAAAACCACCACACACATATTTACTGTTGGAAGTATTTTTAGCCCAATCTACTTCCACAGAACATTTTAGACTTTCCTTCACTTTGCGAAAATTTTTCCTTTAATGTACATTTATGGTACTGAAGTATGCATTTTGGATTACAGTTAAACTGACTTAGTTTACTAAAAGAATTTGCAATATGTTGTGCAGATATAGCTAAACAAATTAAGGACCAGATTAAAGATTGATATGTAATTTTGTCTACACTTTCATATTCTTTGATAATGTATGATGTTTCACTTAGTTTAATGTTAGGGTCTCTAATGCTGTTGATGTAAGCTTACATTCTTTCATACTGCATTTAGCCAAGAATTCTTTTATGTACTGAATCTGACTAACTAACAGATTTCCATTTTGTTCAATGTTAAAGCCATCAAAATTTCAAAAGTTTTGTTGAGAAATTTCTCAATATATATCATAAAGATTCACTTTTAGTTAGAATTATCAAACATATGATTTGATAATTCTAGCTCCAAGCATACATTGTGATTATTATGATACATTCATCACTGTCATCTCTACATAAAATAAAATAAAGAGTCGCCTGTGTGTGTGTATCTTTTGTTCGTGCTGAGCATAAGCTAATAGACCCACGCCTATGACATTTGGTACATAGGTGCATCTAGACAAGAGCCAGTGCACCTCGAAGCGAATTTTTCAAAATTCGAATTAAAATTTTTTTTTAGTTTATCTTTTGTGATGAAATCGCAGTTATTTTGAGACATAATGGGCTATAGGAAAGCGAGATTTTACTCTACATACTCCATTTTCAGATCGTCATGAAATGTAGGCACTTAGCTATTTTACGAACTTAAAATAAATTTCGTGTTCCATTAAATCGATTAAATATGAATTTATTTAACAAAGTAAGCTTAACACCTTTTCAACGGAATTTTTTCTAAAAATGTTTATTTTTTAAAATGTACAGTTTATTTTTCTTTGATTTTTGGAGACGTTAAACTTACATCCTTGCGACTGCTTTTAGAAAAAGAATTTTGGAAAAATGATAATATTTTGTATTTTAAAAAAAAAAATTTTAAATGAAGCTTCTGAGTACACTTCTCACATCTTTAAAAATGTGATTTTGGCGACAATTTTACTTTCTTATTGTTGTTGATAGATTTTTGATGAAATCGCATCATTTTGAATAGTTTCATTCTTTTAGAAATATGAGTTTGGCAACAATTTTTCAGTGTATTTCGTATGTCACTGTTTTTAAGAGATTGGCATATTTCATTGCCATTTTTTATATATATATAATACATTTTTATTGATGTTTTTTATAAAGTTGTTCTGCAGAGTAAAATTGTGCGCGGAATTTTTTGTTTTTTGAGTTTCTTTCATGTTATTTTTTGCTTATTTCACTGTTTGTAAGATATTGAAAAGTTTCGCATGATTTTTTTTTTTTTTTTTTTTTTTTTTTGTTCAACGGAAAGTTGGTTAATTTTTTTATTAGGATAATTAATATTTGTATTAAGGTATAGAGCTCATTTCATTGTAATTTTTTTCTCTTGAAAATATAAGATAAAGTATCATTAATTATACTTTGCTTTTCAGAATTTTTTGTTCCTTGTATTCTTTTATGTTATTTATTGCTCATTTTACTGTTTTTAAGATATTGAAAAGTTTTGAGTGATTTTTTTAGGAAACAAAGTTTTTAACCTCCTTTATACCATTTGAGTTCTTAAGATTTTGCAAAGGGAAGTTGGTTAATTTATTTATTAGGATAATTAATATTTGTATTATGGGATATTGCTTATTTCATTATAATTTTGTTATACGTAATAACTTTTTTTTATGAAGTTTTTCTGCAGAGTAAAATTCTACACAGTTTTTAAATTTAACGTTTGGTGTTCCCTTCAGCCATTTTCCGGTAGATTTAAAAGCCAGACGAAGGCTGGCAGCGAAGCTGCTAGTTTATATATATATTGATTATGATACAGTCCTCAGTTCTTTTTTGAACACAAATAGACTTATCTAATGTTAATTTCTTTAATTTGAGTTTCTGCAAAGCTTCATCTAATTTTAGATTCCACATTCATCCTGCTTGCTTAAGTTCATAAATTGACATTTTCAGCTTGCAAACTTTGTCTTCAGAAGTTCTGAAGCCTTCTGGCTGAAACATGAAAATCTCTTCATCAATTTTCATATTCAGGTAAGTTGTGTATACATCCATTTGATTTATCTTCAGCTCATATTCGGCAACTAGGGCGAGCAATGTTTGTACAGAGTTGTAGCGCAAACTGCTACAAGTGAAAATGTTTCCATATAACCCATTCTATACTTTCGCAAGCATCCTTTAATGATGAATCTGGCTTTGTACTGATCAATTACGCCATCCACCTTTTGCTTTATTCGGAATACCCATTTGCATCCAAAGGTTAAGGAATTATATTCTTCCATAGTAGCTCTTCATTTGTCTGCATCTTCTCTGGATAAAGCTTCTTCTACAGCTTCTGATTCTTGTCTGGCATACAAGTGTGGCATCAAGTCCAATCCAGAAGCAATTGTG